TGAAATTGTTTCATATAATACTTTTTTGATGAAGTTGTTTCATATATGGTTGTGAAATTGTTTCATATAATACTTAATGAAACTGTTTCATGTATTTTTCTAAAATTAATGAAACTGTTTCATGTATTTCTCTAAAATTAAAATAATGAAGATGATAATATCTATGATTCACCTTCCACAATAAAAATGATTAATCAACCTCTCATAATTACAAAAAAATGAACAAAATGAAAAATTGTGATTGGTTGAATGAAGTTTGCACGGTTTATACAAATTGAGTGGTTTGCATTTGAATATATAACAGAAAACTATAAAAAGAAAATCAAATCTTTATAAAGAATTATCATCTCTGCAACAACCTTCAACTGCAAAAATTGCTAATGCTAAGATTAATGTACACAATGCCTCAAGTCAGCATCACAAAATTCTCAACAAAAAGTCAAAGTAATGACTGCTGTAATAACACAGGTAAAAACAAGCAGTTTCCAGCCTCCGCCTCTCCGGCGAACTTTCCGATAACCCGAGTCGCCGGAAAAGTTTGAGAACTGATCGGAAAGAATCTTAAGGGCGGCAAGAATGGTGAAAACAAGGGTTGCAGACAGCAGAGCTTGATCAGCCATGTCCAGACTTTCTTCGTCGCTTGTAATCTTCTCGAAATCTTGCCTGCCCAACAAATTATAGAGCGATTATTGATTTGTGTTCGACTTTCGAGGGTCAAAAGAGGCGTTTTATAGCTTCGTAATCTGGCTGAAAAGCTAGTTGGTAGCTGAATGTGGTTGATTTAGTAGCTATGTTGTGAAAAATAACTGATAAATTAGATGACAGTGTAAAATGATCTAAAATGATATGTTGAAAAATTATTGGAAAAATATAAAACGGGCATAACCAGAAAAAACCTCTGGAGCTTATTGAAATGCTACATAAAGTAGTTTTTCAAAAAGTTGGTTCTTAGCTGATAAACTAGTCATGTTTGGTAAAACTAGCTAATAAGCTAGATGACAATGTAAATTTATATAAAAGGATAAGATAGTAAAAATAATTGGACGAATACAAGGGGCATAATTGGAAAAAGTGGGGAAAGAACCCCTGTAGGCTTATTGAAATGCTACCTGAAGTAACTTTTTGAAGAGTTGGCTTGTGACTAACTAAACGGGCTTTTTCAATAAGCTCAAAAAACAAGGGAGCTTGTGTTTGCCGGCCGAATGCAATTTTTTTAGTTGTTTCGTAAGTTTAACTCGAGGTTTATACGATGAAAAAAATTCACCTGAGCATGACGTTTTCTTTGACAAGCGACTCCAGAAGGAACGACACGGAAGCCTTCCACGACTCCAACTCTGCAATTTCTTTCTCCTGAAACGATTAACCACGGTGGGTTAGTTACAAGATTAGCAAAAACCAAGACCCAAGATGGTTTAGTCTGTCCGGTTTCACGTGGTTCCAAGGGAACCACCTAAAACCGAGCCATCTTGAACCCACTAGCAAAACCTAGAATGCAAGGTGTTTCAGTATGAAACGATTAACCACGGTGGGTTAGTTACAAGATTAGCAAAAACCAAGACCCTAGATGGTTCAGTTTGTCCGGTTTCACGTGGTTCCAAGGGAACCACCTGAAACGGAACCATCTTGAACCCACTAGCAAAACCTAGAACGCAAGATGTTTCAGTCTGATCGGTTTCACCTGGTTTGTGAAACCGACCATCTGAACCATCTTGAACCCACTTCAGATTAGAGCTTTTTCGCTCAAAATTTCAAGAAAACAGTCGAGATCGCGAACCATAGTCTCTTTCCACGGCAAAAGATTGTCGATTTCCGATCGGGTTTCTTCCACAACCGCCGAATATTTCAAGATTTCTTGATCAAGATGAGGAAGAAACTCTTCTTGTCTTGTGTTCAATTCTTTAATGTAATCCTCCATTAAAGACAAGTTATTTTCAAGAAATCTAACTTTTTGCATCAGAATCTTCAGGACAGCATCACTGTGAATTCTTCCATTTCCTTTTGCAACAGTTTCAGGAACTTTGGTGGTCATCAATGGCTTCTTTTGTGCATCATCTTTCATCTTCTTTCCATCATCAAACCCTTCAATCTTTTCATCTTTAACCACATTCTTGAATTCATCATCCGTTCTTCGAAAACAAGTGGTTTCTGATAATGAAGTTGGATTAGGAGTTAGCGATTTCCGATTAGCAGATTCTTCAGAAGCCAAGAACAGATCTTCAAGCATCTTTTCAATTGCATCAACCCCATATGCTTCAAAAACACTCAACGTGCAGTAGAATTCCGACCCGTAATGAGATATCAACCTTAACATTACGTATCGAGCCCATCTAGGCTCGGGTAACTTAAAATACTGGCTGTGTTTAACGTTTTCCGCCACAAACGTTCCAAGATCGTACCATGTTTCAGTCGGAAAAACCAAACTTCCCAACAACTCGAATTGTTTGAAGTTCGAAGAATGGTGTTCGAAATTGGCTATCGTGATGGCATCGACTAGAGTTTCTTCCGCGAGCTCGATGACCACGAATTTCTCCGGAACCGAACACGGGTTTCTTAAATACATATCGTGATCTTCACCCAAAATGTTGCTTGCACCTTTCGCTTCTTTATCATGAGCCACCACTTTCGCACCTTTGGATGCAGCCGCATAGTTGTACTCGGTTCCATCTGGCTCGAGCCTATGTGTGATGTTGACTAACCCACTCGGTGAACCGTTCAAACCGTTATCTTGCCTCGTAATGTTCCTAAACTCGTCCAAATCGAGATACTGAAAATGGGTTCTTCCATTCTGTAATTCCTGCTTCTTTTCCAGATAAATATCTTGAATTTGTCGTTCGCAAACGAATGCGGAATAACCTAGAACTTTCCAAACTAATTCGTCACCTTCACTCGATTCCTGAAGAGGGCTTCCTTCGGTTTCATCGAAGCTATGTTCGTAAGATATGGAATCGTTATAAACCCTAGAAATGTTGAACTCTAAAAGCACCCTATCGGCATGATTTCGACCTTGATCTTCAAGATATGGATATGAAGTTGTGTTAGTGAAGTTCTTACTAAAACCACCGACTTTCCCTGAAAATTTTGGATTAAATCATGAAGATTGTGAGGCAAAATCAAGAACATACTAAGATCATCATCATCATATGTTCATCAATACATGCAATCAAATCGATATCAAACCACAAAATGCAGAAATTTGAATCATTACGCATAAATTTGAAACGTAATGATTCAAATTTCTACGTAAGAATTCATATTTTTGCATGAACTTTGACTAACTAAAATAGGAATTCAATTGAAAAAGGGCTAACAAAATTGAAATTGGTGGGGGAGATCAGCTATTTTGGTCGATTTCCCTAAATCTTCATGAATTGTACGATAAACGATTGGGAACAGAAAGAGGTATCTCAAAAATTCTCGAAATCGATCGTAACATTTGAAGGATTTCAACAATGCGGATTCAGAAAATGGATTCAGAAAATCACGAAACAAATCATGGAAAACGAACAAAACTCCAAAATAACGACGATTTGCACCTGTAATTCAACGAAATTAGAGCAAAATACCTTGACTACCATGATTGAACCCAAATGTAGAGAAGGAAATCATAAATGGGAGCCAAAATGTAATGATTAAAGGCAATGATAGCTTAAGGAACCCCTCTTTTTCCTCCTTTTTGATGAACAATTTGAGGTTATTGGTGTGAAATTTGACGTCTGTAGATCGATCATCGATGATGAGTTTCTTCATCTGTTTGAAGATTTATTTACGTAAGAGTGGACAGGAGAAGGTTACAGTCTGTTTTTGGTTTATAAAAGCACCCCCCAAAACCCCCTAGGCTCCAACCTTCCCTCGAATACTGGTCTGGTTTAGGCCCTGTCATCAATGGAGTCGCGGTTTTCACTGGACTCTTCTGTGTTAACAATGGAGGACATATTTTGTCTATAAATGATATTAGAAGGGTGGTAAGTGAAAATTGGTAGTAATCTATCTTTAGCAAATGAGCTCTAGAGCTCATCGGTAACGGTTTATTGAGCCATATAACAAATATGGCTTATTCGCACAGCCATATCTTATATTTGGTAAGAGCTTAATCGATCATATAGGAGTTGATTTGCTTATCTAAAATACCACACTCCTGTCCACTCAGTCATTACTTTTCCCCAACTACCCCTCTCCCCAACTACTCATTAATTGAAAAAAAAACTACACATGCCGACCATCGTTCTCCACACAGCTTCGATTGCTCGTGGAATCCTCCATCTCACACAGCTTCAATTGCTCCTGCTCACACAGCTTAAAGAGGGAGTTTAGTGGAGAGTGAGAGAGATTTCAACGAGAGATGATTCGGGGTGAGAGAGAGATTCCCCGAGAGGGTAACTGGGAGTTTTAGTTGCTGGCTTGGTGGGGAAGTGAGGAGAGTTTGTGAGCGAGATAGAGAGAGTTCGTGAGCGAGATAGAGAGAGTTCAGGGAGGCAAGCCGAAGAGAGGGGAGGCGAGAGAGAGAGATTGGTGAGCAAGATAGAGAGAGTTCAGGGAGGCATGCCGAAGAGAGGGGAGGCGAGAGAGAGATATCGACGAGCGAGATAGAGAGAGTTCGGGGAGGCGAGAGAGAGATATCGACGAGCGAGATAGAGAGAGTTCGGGGAGGCAGCCATCAACAGCATCAGCAAACATCACCAGTTGCCTTCCATTAGGTTTCAAGAATTTTGTTTTCTTCAAGTCTTACATCTATAATTTTATAACTTTTATAATTAAAATTCATTTACTCAATATTGTTATCAAACATTACAAAAATATAGACTGGGGAGTAAAATGGTCATTTCTGACATTCAGACGGTTTATTCAGCACGACACCCGAACAATAACTTATATGTTATCATACAGACAACTTTATCAATACATACATCTTTATCCATACGGGTCTTAATAAAAAAACTAACCGAACAACCCCTAACCCGTCATATTTTGATGGGATTTATATATACCTGAATCATCTTGTTAGAATAAGAGTGAAGATAAGAAGTGTAAAAAGATATATAGACTTTAGATAACTTTTAATCTCACCTCCATCCCATTAATTGTGCTTATAATTTGAATTGATCTGGTGCATTTCGATGCACCGCATTAGCATCGATCTTCAATTAAGATTAATCCAATGGTGAAAATTCATCCTTACCATTCTCAATGTAAGACTGCTATTTTCGTTCATATGCTTTTGAAACTACAGTTTTCATATACAGTTCATTGTTTTATTTTTTCATCCTTATAATTTACAGTTCATTCTTATAATTTACAATTCATTGTTATTTGCGTCCTTCATACTCAACGATAAACCACTGAAAGAGGCTCGGAAACGAAAACAACAACGAATTACAAACAATAAGAACGAAAATCGTAATTTCAAAAACATATAAACAAAAAGTTGCAATTTTTAACGAACCATATGACCGAAAATCATGATTTTACTCTTTTCTTAATAAACAACATAATAATACAAAAATCCCAATAAAATGTTTGACCCAATCCAAGAAAAGTCAAAAAGTCAAATCTGGGATCAATTTATGAACTTTAGAACCAACATACATATGAATCATTCTATATGACTCTTCCAAGATTTCTACAAACCCTACAACACAAATACTAAAACCACAAATTCTCTCTGCCAACAAAATTTCTTGCTGCTACCCTTTTCACACACCACCAACATACAAAATCTTGAAGAAATGCAATGAATGCCATCATTGATTCAAGATGCTATACTTGAATTCGACATCGTGTTCTCGTTCTTGTGTTTGTTTGAAGAATGAAAGGCTCGATGGATCGCCTTCCTCGAGTAACCGACTTGTTGGAGTGTTTGGCGGGTACATGTCCAAAATAAATTCGATTTCATCTCCGCTCATCTCCAATTGACGAAGAAGAACCTGAAGAAAAAGAAAAAAAGCAAGTGATATTTTCTGCTTTTAGTCTCATCTATGTTGGATATGGAGTCTGATTTGGACCATAAACTTGTCTACAAACCAAATGGACCCGGTATATCTTAGGGTTTGTTTGTTAACAGCTTAATAAGCTTAATGGGATTCACAACTTATTCGGTCAGCTATACATGACATGTTTTGTAGTTGCTTAATGATATAGAAAGTGGTTCATTCAGTAAGCTTCTAGGTGATTGCTTTATGCAGAAAGCCAAAAAAAATTCCAAACCTGCCCCTCCCAATTAAAAAACATTCTCCTTCCATCTATGAAAAACTCTCCCAAATTAAACCTTCCCAATCTATATAGACAGATTAATCCACACAGGACTTGATGGAAAACCAACCAAACAGCCCCTTATTCGAACGATCTAGAGGTGGGAATGTGGGATGTATGCAGACATGTCCTCTACTCTAAAGAGTAGAGCGATTGTTTCCGTGAAGAGATCCGGCTTGTGCAACAGTGTCAGCAAAAGAAGGTAGAAGGAACAAAGAGAGCACGGCGTAATCACAGAACGAGAAAAGTGAGTAAAAAAGTAACGAAAAGTCGAAAAGGTATATTGGAAACTGGTCTACAACTTCACCCAAATATTGACCATTTGACCCGATATATCCCTCTTGAAAATCACTAAGGCGGACCCAAAAAAGAGTTTTAAGTGGTTGCACAATTTGACTATACGAGAAAAATCTATAGAAAATTTTCATAATATTAATATAGATCCCTCGGTTGGTTCCTTGTCCCTACAAAAGGAACTCTTGTTCGAGTCTCGTCTTCAAATTTATTTTAAAACACAAAAGGTATATAAACAAATGCCAAAATTTAAGCTGAAAACTAAGGTCCCATCTGGTTTGTAGGGTTGGATAGAATTTGAAGAGATTTGGAATTCAACTCCATTCCAATCCCATGTTTGGTTTGAAAGATTGCTTGGATTTGAAATCCCACAAACATGGGATTTAGAAATCCCATGGGGGTTCTTGGTATTTCGCAGGATTTTGTAGGATTTGTGTGTAGTAATGTTCTAAAATACGTTGTTTTATAATAATCAATTAATAAAAAGCTAATTTAGTTATTTTTATAATTGTCTATAATTTGTTTTTATAAATTATTTATAAAAAATGGAATTCGATTTCATTCCAAATCCTACAAACCAAAGATTCCAAATCCTTCAATTCTAAATCCTTCCACGATACCCAAATCCCTCAAAACCATTCTATCAAACCAAACACCCCCTAAGAAATTCGAGAAAAGTGGGACTCGAACCCGGTTCTTCTATACACCAAAGGTTAGGGCGCTAACTTTCTCTCATACCATTTATTGTTCGGTTTTGTTCTTATGGTAAAAACGATCTTCTACAAACGTAAACAAAATTCATGAAATATAACCAACTCCTAGTCGCTCCCATTGATATCCCTTAAAATTGCAACTTTTGACCAACATAGTTCAAGAAAAAGTATTTTCATATTAGTCAAATGTCTAAAATACCCTTAAATGGCTCGATAGTGATAGAGTGGAAAAATCTTGATGACCTAAATCAATATTTCCATCATTTTATTGTAAAGATGACAATGGGCAATCAAGTAGTGTATGGTTCAAAATATTCCCTTGAGCGAAATTGTTGCAATTTGCATGGGACATTCTAAAAATGGCAAGCGTTAAAAAAACGAAAGCATAATGTGTAAATTTACCAATTTACCTTAACGGTTTTGAGCAAAGCGGTATGGTGGCGCCTCAGCAAAGCAACGGTCTTCCCATACATGTTAGATATCAACTCTTCTGTACTTTTTGCGATTTCATCGTCCATATTGAAGTTGAGTGGTGGCTCTATTAGATCATAATCGTCATATAACGAACCTTCAAAGTCTAGCCGTGGACCCACAAACTTAGGTTGCCTTCTCCATGGAGCCGGTTCCCCATGTATAACCATCGGGTTCTCCATGTTCCATCTAGGAGAAGAAAAAATGAACATGTCACATTATTTATCCTTCAGTAAAGGCAAAATAAAAGAATCCTGCGGACCCAAATCAATTAATGACGGTAAAGGGCAAATGGGTAGCTTTACATAGTGATAATTTTACGAGCAAGCCAAGTTGCATCCGCAAGGTAAGTGAGCGATGCTTTTGATGTATCCCTTCCGAAAATCACCTCTTCAGCAGCCCTCCCTCCGAGTAAAACCTGTTTATGTCCGTAGTAAGCTCGATTTCCAAAAATGGAAAAAGATGGAGAAATGTTGTTGGAGCTTTTCTAAGGGGTGTTCATCCAAACCGTCCACACCACACCGCCAAGCGCGGTTTACGACATCCACGGTGCGGTTTGTGGTTTGCATTCTTACCAAATCGCACTATATGGTGCGGTTTGCGGTTTTGAGTTATCAAACAGCAGTTCAAACTGCACTGCACCGCATAGTTTATATATTTTTTTAATTTTACATAACCGCAGTCCAATTTAGTTTGAAGTTTCTTTTTTTACCTCTTAGACTATTTTTACCTATGCAATATGTATTTGGGAATCGGGTGTACTAAAACTCTTAACTTTTTTGGACTATGGTCACGCTATCGTTGATATTATAATGTATTTTCAAACTTATAAGTATTAGATTTTAGGCATAAAGTACGATAGATACAAACCGCATAAACCAAACCGCACCGCATTGCATTTTGCGGTGGGGTTTTTTGCGGTTTGAGGTTTATGCGATACGCTGTGAACACCCCTAGTTTTCTTGCTCCAACAGAATCTCCAAAACATTCTTCAAAACGGATAAAAGATGAGAGAAGAAAAGTTTCTCCATATTCGGAGAGAGAAGAAATTTCCAAAACTAAATTCGGAGATAAAAGATAAATTAATTATTTTTTACTAATTTGGAGGAAGAGAACATAAAATTACCGTTAAAAATTCATTTGAAAGTTTGTTAGGGTATTAAATGCATTGATCTATACTATATTATAAAGCATTTGAGAAAAACTCTTAAA